CGTCTGAGCACAGAGGAAGTTCAAAAGCGACTGCTTTGTTACTGACATGGCAATGTTACATTGTGATAATATACATGTTTCTATAATCCCATTCATAACTACCTTAGCACATACACGTGCTATGGGTGTTTAGCTTACAGTTACCCTCACCTGCCCTTTGTTGTAGTAGCAGCCGTGAAAGTAAGCCAGTATGGTCCGGTACTCTGTACCACTAAATACTGTACTGCCATGCATCAAGTGAGCATTACCTTAGTTGTGCTGCTATAGGTTTAGACTGCTGGGGGAACTCCCATCATGCACTGAGCACTTCTTCACTTCCCTCTGTCTCTCTGCCCCCCCACACCTGTTTATTTATTTATTTGTTAGTTTTAACATGTCATCATGTCAAAGTGTCACTTTGTCCTCCCATAGTCCCTCTGGCTCTTCTCTCTATCTCGTTTCAGATAACTCCGGCACCGGGACTACAGGACCACAACGACCACCATCACCATTGTCTGCATTTATTACAAGAACTCAGCAATTCATTAATATATCTAGTCATGTTGTAGATCACTACATTGTTATTGTTATGGTTAGCCTTGATTTTTACTGCCAAATTGTTACTGGTCTCTCTCTCTCCACCTCATCTCTCTCTTCTCTCCCCCGCTTTCCACCCATCTCTCCTTTCCTCCCCCCTTACTTTTCTTTCCTCACCCCAACCGGTCGAGGCAGATGACCGCCCACATTGAGCCTGGTTCTGCCAGAGGTTTCTCCCTTTAATGAGGGAGTTTTTCCTCTCCACAGTCGCCTGTTCTTGCTCATTGTGGGAACTGTTGGGTTTCTCTATGTTAATATTGTTTTAAGGTCTTGACCTTTAAATGTAAAGTGCCTTGAGATAATATAAATTATGAATTGGCGCTATATAAATAAAATTGAATTGAATTGAATTACAATCAGTGCATCACTTATCCCTTACTGCATTTACCATCACAGTAACAGACTGTTTTCCTGCTGTCAGATGGTTTTAATGTCTCAGAAATCTGTCCAGTCACTGAAGTTAAGTGTGGAAAACATCAAAAAAAAAATTTAATTTCAAACTTCTTCTTCTTCTCTAAACTAATATTATGAACAACCACCTCTCACAGCTCAAGGGTCGAATTCCCCATGACAATCAAAGGTCTTTATTGTACCTAATAGTGCGATATGTGGAACATATCCAAGTATGCAAACTTGCTTTGTAACATTCCTGAGACTGAAAGTACGAAACAAGTGTCCACAATTTGATTTTGTGATGCAGGACCCCAACAGCAGCCTGAGGGCCTTTCACAAGTGGAGATCAAAACACTATGGCTCTTGTTCAAATCTACCTTCCCGGTCTGTATTTCATCTTCTCATTGGTACCTAAAGCAACACACATTTAGTAGGGCCATTTTCAATCTGAGAAGGAATTCATCACCAAAGAAACACCATGGTCGTCTTAAAACTCACATTAGGATCAACTGGTGCTAGTTCACCTCCTGGGCACTAACAAGGTGCCCTTGAGCGAGGCACCGAACCCCCCAATTGCTCCCTGGGCGCCTTCATGGCTGCCCACTGTTCCCTATGTGCTGTGTTCACACGGATGGGTTAAATACAGAGGTCAAATTTCCCCATGTTTGCATGTTGCATGCTGTGTGTGGGACAATAAAGAGGAATCTTAATCATCTTAATCTTAACTGTACTGGAAGCGTGAGGACATGATGAAAATTTGTTTCACTTTGATGATCACAATATGAAAATCACAGAGACCTTGGGATTTCAGCATGATATCATGATATAAGTTTTAATGATTTGGAAATAGGACAAAAATCATGCAATGAAAACAGAAGTTAGGGTTGCACGGTTAAAATTACATCTCAGACTGCTCAATAAGGATATCAAGAGTGTTTGAGATATCCTGCCACTACTGTTACACTTAATACTGTATTTCCTTATCTAACACCTTATAATCCTTTTAGTGGACTGTTCCTGTTTGACCTGACAGTGAGATACTCAAATCTACAGCTGTCTGTAGTTTTAGATGTGCTGTATTTGAATCTATATATGTGAGGTTAAACCAGCACACTTGATAAAATGCCTGATTAGCCCATAATGACGTCTCAGGCCCAGAATGTTCTGTATTGATTAGGTTAAGAGCTCAGGGGTATTCTGAATGACGGCAATTTGCTGTGTGAACTCATTGCACTGCAGTCCTGGATAATATGAGGCAAAATGCAAACTAAGACAATGGACAACCTGGACAGCTGTCTGAGAGGATGATGTTGCAGTTTGACTCTGCAGTGCAGATACAGCAGTGGAACGACAAAGCATGATTCAGCAAAATTACCGTCATTCACTTCAATCACATCATCATAAAACTAGCACGTAAGTAGGACACATATTGTATGAGATGGTATTTTCTTACTTCTCTGTCTCATTTAGGAACATAAAAGAAAGGTGTGGAATGTTACCATGGCAACAAGCACAGTGCAACTGTCCTTGGTAGTATTCTTAAATTATGTGAATTCCACATGAAATTAGACCGGACATTTATGACCTGCAACATTTTATTCTTGTGAAAATAGATTATTTCTATCAAAAGTCAACTGCAGAGGTTGTGAGATTAATCCTCCTTATACAGTCATTCAGTAAAATAACATTTCTTTTACTGAAAGGATGTAAAGGACACACACTTGTGTTTTTACTGTGTGTACTGTAAGGGCAGGACAACTTACCCTACGATCATTGATTTCAGCCCACAGATATTTGAGACAGCACATAGAGTGATTCCAAGCACAGTCTACTCGGATTTAACCTTTAGGGCGAGTCTGGGTCTACATCCAAATGCATCACTTTTGTCTGCCATCCACTCTTCTTAGAGATATTTGGAAATCAGGCAGTTGCCTACATTTGCATCCTGATTGGAACTTATCAATCATGACTCTACTATCAGCAATAAATCCGTAGGGCCGCATACACTCACTTTCAGTAACGGTTCCACCTTGTCATCAGCCTAAAAGAAATCCCTACGTTTCAAAACTGCTGTTCCTCATCCCTGTTTTCTGAAACCTAAGCAAACATTTACAAAGGAGTCCATTTATATAGAAACAAGTACTTTTTATATTCTACTATTTTGGCTGCTCGCTGTGTGAGTGGACCCAATGGAATGTCAGAAAGCATGTCCAAATGAGCAAATCCGAAACAAAGAGCTTGTGTCATCCTCAAAAAGCTGCAGTACAAATGCAAGATAAACATAAATCAAGCAGCTGAGAGTCCAAGTTAATAATATTAGACACGGAGGCAATATTGGATCAAGTGAGAAACGGTTGTGAAAGAGATAAAATGGCACTGCAGGTCCCCAGAAGTGATGTCTTGACAGACAAATGATGTATTCAGTTCAGCTCAGTGTCATACCCAATAACATAAGACTTTTGGCTGTGAGTGTTGTCATTCATCATGATTGTGCAACACCCTGCTACAAGTTAATGCAGTTTCATCTGACTGCTGGGGGATCTACAGCGGTGGATCAGCAGTAATGCTGGGTTCGTGCCTGGCAGTAATCACAGCCACTCCAAACAATTGCATCAAGACTTTGAACTCTTCCCAATCTTGACTTTCTATTTAAATGCTTAAACAAATGTATTTCTGTGATGGATGAAGGCCAGACAGAAATACAGGAGACAGGACCAAACCACAAAAAAATGTGGGGATAAAGCCCTTCATCCACAGTTAAGATTTGACGTGGATTCAAAAACTCACCCACGAAGCATGAGTTGTTAGAATCAGAGATTTTTTGTGACACCCTGAAAACTATCAAGTTAGAAGTTTACCTTTCAACAACACAAGCAAACACTTCTAACTTTAGGAGTCTCACTGAGTCTGGTATTCAGCCTCCATCCCTGCAGGACATGAGGCTTGCAGTCTCAGTGGTAGTCAGTCAGTTACCTTACATAACGCTGGTGTGTGGCCAAGCCCCAACAATGGTTCACCCTAATATCTCAAAACTCCAAATCAACCAGGCTACACTTCAGTTATTGACTAATCAGTCAGTGGAAGCTACAGTAACATGAGAATCACATTGTTAACTTCCTACCTTTAAGGAGTAACATAAACAAGCATGCCTCAATGTCGCCCTCCGCAGCGAATTATGATGGAAAACCCAAGATGGAGAAGCCTAAAAGTAACAATATCTGAACAATAAAATCTGCTTTGTGTGTTGAGTGCATGCCGAAGTGTAGAGTATGTGTGTCTCCAAAAGCTCTTATAAAAACACGTGTGATTCCTGTGTGTTTGTGCTGTGGGACAAACGAGCAAGCATGAAGTGGGAGAAATTCCAATGGAGTTCGTGTGGCTGTCACTGCAGCACGTCATGTCCCCAGATAACAGAGGGGTATCTGGGAGGACATCGAGGGGACGATGGTCTCCAGCTAACGGAGACATTAAAAGACATATCTGAAGCAGAGCCCGGTGGATGAACACTGTGTGACTGGATGGACACTGCTGCCTGAGGCCCCGGGGCTGGTGCACACTCTTATTTTGCTGCATTGACTCATAACTCTGGTGGGACGGGCCGTGTGACCAAACTCTGCGGGGAAACAAGCTGCGCAGGTCCGGGGCTGTGTTCTCCTCACACTGCGACCGGGTTGAAGCTCTCGAGCCGAAAGTAACTTTTAAAAATCGGGGTGCTCGCACGGGGAGTGCCGCTTGTGGTGGAGGGGGGGGCCCGCGGCCGGGCGAGGTCCTGTGCACTGCGGCTGCCCTTGGACAGCCGGGGCCGGGCTCCGCGGCTCCCTCAGCCTCCCTGCACTGCGGTGGAGGACATTTCTCACTGAATCACACCGTCATGAAAGACAACAAGAGTCAGCAAGCCTCCACTTTGACCGCGTCCCGCACACGACCACGCTAAAGCACGAGCTGCGTGCGCATTCATGCCCCCCCACCACATACTACCCACCGCTGCAAACCCCCCCCAAAAACCGCCCGCACAGCCCGGGTTATCTTACCTGGTACTATCTCCTCTGTCGCCGCTTGTTTGTCAGTCATCACGTCCCGCAGTGTCTCCTCCTCCTGAGCCTTCTCCCCGACGCAGCTGCACCAAGCAATTTTCCTGCTGTACCGTTAAAACCGAGCGAAGAAGAAGAGAACACCTCCGCCGCAAAACACGCACACGTGAACCTTCCCGCGCCGCTAAATCCACGGAAACTTCCCTCCGCCTCCGCCGCTTCCTGTTTCGCGGAGAAGCTTCAGCACGCACACATGGGGGTCCCAAGTGCTGTGTGAGCAGAGGAGGGGGGGGGGGGGGGGGGAGCAGAGTGGATGCTGGACCCCAGACTACACTGCTGCTGCTGTGTCCGCCCCTCCCATCACAGTCTGTCCTGGTGAGAAATCCTCCTGCTGCTGCTGCTGCCAGGACACCAGAGAGATGCTGAGCTCTGCTCCTACACAACATGATCAAATGTGGAGGAGAACTTTAGGAAGGGTATGAGGAGTGTATGGAAACTGGGGAGGGGTGATAAACTCCTCTTTCCTTATGTATCCTTCGTTGTCCTCATTCACTCAGGTCAGCATGTATGAGTGAGAACCATTTGGACTGAATGTGGCCCCAGGCTCGCCGGGGATGGGCCTCATCCATCCATACATCCATTTACCCATCCATTCATCCATTTACCCATCCATTCATCTATCCATCCATCCATCATCTATAGAGCTTATCCTTTAAGGCAGCTGACATTGGTTACACGCTGGGCAGGTCACCAGCATATTGCAGGGCCAACATAAATAGTTTGAATGGTAAATGGCCTGTATTTAAATGAAGTGTTAACAGTTTTGCCATCCACACATTCCCACAGTGCATCTATGTGCAGCACTCCTCTATCACACATCATTCATACACTGCTGGCACAGCTGCCAGGGGCACTTTGGGGTTCAGAATCTTTCCCCAGGACACTTCTGCACAGCCAGCCTTCTGGATAGAGGACAACCCGCTCTACCTCCTGGGCCACAGCCAAAACATACAGAGCCATTCACACTCACACTTGAATCTGAAACAATTGGTCCAGGCCCTATATAAATGGGCAAAGTGGCCATGCCATGAAAGTGAATTTGATCAAATTGTCTGCTTTGAACCCACACCTCTATGACTTCTATGAAACACAACTTACCTAAAAATGTAAATAAAGTTATATGACGGACAATCAAGAGCATCTCATGTTCTTTGATCAGGAATTAAATTCCAAGGTTTCACAAATCTGATATCTTTTACTTACATTTCATTGAGTTGCTTCTATCAGGGCGGGACCAAGCTTTTATGGGGCTGTTGGCTGAATGTGAATTTGGGGCCTGCATTGCAGTGCTGTTAATGTCAGTGTTTGATTATTCACACGTTATATGAATCATCATTAGTGTGAAGCAGAGGAAGCAGGTCATGCACTTTTTTTAATTTTAATGTATTCACATGCTTGTTAAAGAGTAGCTTCATAATTCAGCCATGATTTGAATTAGAGCCATTCATCAATGCTTCTTGAAATCGGTTGATGTAGAATTAGCTAGGTATCTTATTAGCATAACATTGCATTTTGGAGGATTACAATTCACATAATATAATATATCAAAATGTCTCATGCAGGACATTTAAAGCACTCTTGGGGGCCCACTAGTGGCCACAGGGGCCCTGAACAGGCTCTTAGTTTGCTTATACTTTCTATGAAGCTCCTTGAGTGTTTTTTATTTATCTATTTATTTTCATATATATCCCGACTGGTAGTTGAGTTACTTAACTTGCCCAGATTTCCAATGCACAGTGTTACTGTCCACTAAAGGATATGGAGGATTCACACTGATGTTTGAATGATCCACATGATCCACATGAGGGTCATGGATGAATTACATGACTGCAATCAAGGCCAGATCACCAGCGGGGCAAAGCAGGCAGCTACTCAGTGGTATTGAACTCCTACTGTATATCATCTGACTTGATGTGTATCTATAGAAAATATGTTTGGGAGTATCCATCACCAAGCACAATATCATGAGAGTGATAACTAGTATTCAGTACCAGATGTAGAGGACTTGTCTTTAGGGGATCTCCTGTGTCAAAATCCAATGTCTTATCTTGTGGCTCTTGCTCATTGGAGAATAAAATGACTCACATTAGTTTACTCCCACATCTTTTCAAGAAGCATTGATGAATGGCTCTAATTCACATCATTGCTGAATTATGAAGCTACTCTTTAACAAGCATGTGAACACATTCAAATCCTAAGTGCATGACCAACAGTTTGAGTGTTATGTGTTTCCATCAGACACACAGCAAACACAAGCACATACATTCTGCTTGCTTTAGTTTTAGCAGTGACTCAGCAACCTGCCTCACTTACAGCTATAGTCGGGGGAAACAGGAGCAAAGTGAGACATGGATGCATCTGTGCTTTCCTCCGGGTAATGAATTATAGTCCATTCAGAAACCAGACTTAAACAAGTTCTACTGAACTGATAGTGTGCTCAAAGAAAGAAAAAAAGCAAACATATAGCACTGATGATGCTATTTAACATTTTAAAAGCTTATAGAAATGAAACTACTCTGTCTTTCATGGTTCATTAGAAGGACTGTTGAAAGTGTGGACAATTTTATTGTTTTTATCTTTCCAAAAAAGATTAAATCAAAGATGGAAGAGATAAGAAAACTTCCAACACCATCCAACCTGTCAATCCCAGCTGAGAATTTACTAAATGCTTTGAAAAGGGGTCAAATATCTGAATAGTCTCACAACCAACTATTTCATCTCAAATGAAACTGGACCTAGGGGACAATTCTTTGGAAACCTATACTAATCTGCTAAACAGACATGGAAAGTCTTGACGACAGCCTGCTCTCTGTTGTCGAGGACTTCTCGCCTCCGCCTTTACCAACATCTGCAGATTTAACCGATGAACCTGTCTGTGATGGCTGCTAACTGGCAAAATTTATAGTCATGGGAAGGGGGGAGGGTTGTAAAAATTCCAGAAAGTTTTATCATTGACGCAAAATGAATAAACCTGAGTGCATGGTGAGTCATCAAACAGATGAAACTGTTTTACAGGAAGAGAAAAGACAGAGATTCAGATGTAAAATGTTGATTTCATAATAAGATATGGGTGAACAGTTAACACAGGATTAAAACAGGGAGGGTGTGCTTTCCATTTCATTGGGCCTTTAACTAACCCTGCAGTCTCTGCAACAGTCTGACTGATTGGAAAACGTAGCAGTGTGGATGTAGCCTCGGTCGGCCTTGTGTCCTGCTGCTGGTTAAATTTACAGTTTCAAGTTAACTTCATTAGTTGTTTTGTGGCAGGAGTCAGTCACAGAGAGGTGTTACTTTGCACTTCCTGCTGGGTTGATGTCTCCTTCTGCTGCAGTACCTGTAACCGTGTGAATCCTGGTCATGGTAAATGCTAGAATGGTTTTTGTGCTGTTACTTTTCTTAAAGTTAATTCAATAATTAGACTCAAAAACACGTCATGATTTGGTGTTGTAGAAATAATGGAAATATCATTGATTTTACAGTATTCCAAACCTTAGGCCTTTCTCTCAACAAGAAGACAGATGCTAGGGAGGAGAATAATAAGTAAATTAACTTGGATTAAAAAGATCATTATGTAATGCTGTTGGCAAAAAAGAAAATGTTTTGAGAAAATGAGCTGTGTTACTCAGACTGGATAATGAGAATACACATAGATGGGACCTTGTCACCACCCAGCTGTGACAAAGTCAGCCTCCCACTGGTCTCCAGTGTCTCAACTATGTGTTGAGAGACCCTTCACACTGTTACTGCTTTTTGTGTATTTACAATGAAATGACACATTTTTACAAGTTTCAGGTTGTCTCAGTCCCTTCATTGTTTCCATGTGAACAAATGCATGACAAATATTTCTGCAAAGGAGCTTGTGCCAACACCAAACCAAACACAGATTATCCATTAGTATCCATGATATAATGTGCTTTCTCACATCCACATGGTTTTCTAGTGTGTCCACTGTTTCTAGCATTAAACTGTATGTTACATGTGGCATAAGGAATCATTTAAACCAAAAAGACCTGTCAACTCATTCTAATGTTTCAATCCCAAGAAAAAGTTTTTGAACCCTTTGGAATTACTGGATTTTTTGCATTAATTGATCATAAAGTGTGACCTGCACTTAACCACAATGTGCCTCCAACACACAAAAAAAATAATCCTTCATGTCTCATTCATGCAGAACTTTTGGACGATTCATCCAACACAGCTGCTTCATATTTCTTTAGGATATCTGGTGTGAACGGCTCTTTAAAGTCCAGACAGTTGAATAAAGGTCTGGGCTCTGAATCCAAAACACCAAGTTTAGCTGTGTCTCAATTTGGGGGGTCACAACCTTCAGAGGCTGCATTTGAAGACCGATTACATCACAGCGGCTCCCTTAAATGCAGTCCATAAATGTGTCTTTCAACCCTTGAGAAACAGAGACTCCACTGAGTGGATCCTTTCCGGACCAACATATCCCAGAATCCACTGCGCTTCAGTTTTTTAACAAGTCTCTCCCCCAACAACATTTTGCTCCCTGCACTGTTCTTCATCTTTCTGAAGCACTGTTTACATCTTGGTACACAGTGTGCTTTTGGGCCCGTCCGCACCTGGTATTAAGATGTGTGCTTTTTATCTGATCACAAGTGGACAGCTCTGAATGCCTGCATTCACACCTGGCATTGAAATGTGGCCCCACATGCGTCTCGTTATCGGATCTCTGCACGGATCTCACCTCCCGCTCTATACATACAAACACGTAGGTCATTTCTGTTCACAAAGACCAAAATGTGTTGTTTGTACCCATGCAGTCTGAGTAGATGAGTGTGTGTGTGTGTGTATGTGTGTGTGTGTGTCTGTCAGCACAATCAAGTGAAAGAGAGGTAGATAGACGAGTCAGGAGACTGAATGAATCTCGTGTAGCTGTGCTGTGAAGAACGATTTTACCAATTTAATGAGTATCGATCATTATGTGGTGATCAGTGTTGATATTGTGTTCTGGTCACAAACGAATCAACAAGAGAAAAAATACGTTCGATTCATAGTGAAACTGCAGCAGGTCAGAGGATGCCAGCTGAATGGGCGGAGGTCCTTCATATGTGGCCCAGGACGGATTTGCGTTCACACCTGTACTTAGAGCCGTCCACTTGAGATTGGATCACAGAAACCACATATTTATAGGAGGTGTGCACAGGGCCTTTCACAGGTTAGGTATATAAAGAGACTACCAAAGCGCATATATAATCACTGGTGA